CCCCCGGGTTGCCAGATTCTGGCAATGGCGTGCCACACTACATACGTGCCCGTGTCGCCGCAACGGCGCCCTGGCCCGTCAATAATGCAACGGTCCAAATGCAGTTACCACGCCCTCTGTCACATTGTGCTTATATCTACCGTTTTTGGCTTTGGTGTCTCGCCCTCTTGCTCTCCCACTCGGTCCGGTGCATGTTATCCGGCACAGATCCTTCGGCCTCAATCCTTCCACCCCCCGGCCGCACTTCACACCGCGTCCCGAGTTAAAAATGTCTGACAGAGATGAACGATGACGATCAGGCGGGGGACCGGCACTATCGGGAAATCAAGGCCGGTACTTGTAATATTACCATAATCGGCGCCTCACTCACCCCCCATGCCCCTTCCTCAAATGACCTGGTCAACTCTTGAACATCACCACTACTAATCTGCCACGTCGGCGCACCGCCCCGAACGCCGTCATAATTGCTGCTGTGCGCCCACTTCATTTGCCTTGCCGGTGAGAAAAAAAATACATCACAAGGTATACACAACTCGTGTCGCACCTGAAACCAAGGTTGCAAATGAGGCCGAAGTACACGATAAGGGGGCCAAGTACATATGATCACGTAAAATCAGTTAGCGCTCGCGCTAGTGCCAGTGCCAAGCGCCCATCCGCCGTGCTTCAAGGGCATGCCGAACCACTGTACATATCACTACCACAGTCACTGTTGGTCAAAAGATGCCACTATCAGGCTCTGCATCGGCTTTGCCGTCCTTTCGGAAGCAACATCTCCTTGTCGAGTTGTACGTCGTAGGCTACACACACTCTCTCTCATACGCCTCACACAGCCTGCTAGCGCATGCCTAACATTCGCACAGCTCGCGCCTTCGCTATGCCCAACTTGATGGCGTTTTCCTGAGCATCACGCCTGGCGACCCATCACTGTGGGTCGGTGTGATCTTCGTGCGAAAAGGTAGGGTGTTCCATAGGGCTAAGCGACTCCCCTGGTGCTTCTCGCCCATCTAGATTGGCCCCCTTGTTCACCTCTTTGATAGGACCATATGCGCCTGCAGTCTTACGCTTCCAAATCTCCTTTCCACCAAGCTATCCTGCCATACCCCCCCTCGTGACCTTTTCCACCGATGTCTTTCACCCCTTGCTCACGCCGCTTACCACGTACACGTACACGACTGGATCTGCTGAGTCGGATACCGTAAGTGCTACGGATGAGGAGCGCCTGCCCCCGGGTGGATTCAGTCTGCGACACGGCTTCCCACACTGGTTTGGACGAACTCGATCCTCTGTGCCCGATTCTCGTCACCCCAGTGGCTCTGCCTTGGCCAGTCCCGCACGTTCCGACTTCAATGTCACCTTGGGTGCTCCTCCTGGCGCGGCCCGCTCGACAGAGGAAATATCCATTGTGCGCATGATAGAGTACATACGTTCCACCTTCAGTGATGAGTCAATCTTGGACTCGCTTCCGCTCGATGCCGCTGCCAATCCAGGAGCCTATCACGCGTGGCGGGCCCATCGTGCTCCTGTTCTGCGAGCTCAGCAATCTCCACCCACAGAGCCTAGCCCAGAGCTGCCGGTAACTGACAAGTCAGAAAGCACAAATGCGCTAGGCCCAAACAGGCGCCCTGGAGAATGGAATTGGGAGGGTGTGTGGGAGGAGCGTGTGAGAAAAGCAGTCAAGGCTAGTCTCTCTGAGCCTGTACTCTTTGGCACAGGCGCCGGAGAAGACATTGTAAGCTCTCGACACCGACATCATGCAAGACAAGATGACTAACCGCTTTCTTTTTTTAGATTCGCTTCCGTGAGGCAGACGAGGAAATGCAGGAGAAAATGAAGATGCACCTAGAGATGGCTGCCGCTCGTACTGCTGAAGTATAATGTGCACATGCCACATTGGCAAGAGCTACCCCGACGCCTCTACAATGGGCAGGAAGGCTCCTCAATGTCACTGCGGCCGGTGTACACTCAAGGACAAACGTGCTGTTGCTACATGGCAAGAGCGATGATCCTGTTGATCTTCGCGTGCGCGCCCCCCTCCCCCCCACTGTCATACCTTCTCTAAACGATAGCTAGTTCCCCCTCCTTTAGTTTCTACATCCACCTTCTATCTATGATTTTGCGTGCAAATCTCATATCTCAACCCGTGCACTAGTTTGCTCTTCTTAATCATCTTCATTTGTAAGGCAACGAGTTTTGGCTTTTGGGCTTGGACCACGCACACACTTACAGCAGTTCACGGTGAGTGAGAGTGGGCTGCGTGAGAGTGAGGTGACTGGACCTCCGTTTGTCAACACTGGCCCGCTCAAGATGATTGCAACAACAACAAGCGGCAGCGTCCTGCCTCCCCACATTCACCTCTGTCCATCCCCGCTACACATACACAAAAAGCAGCGCAAAGCGACGTTTCGCCGACGCATCTTTCGTAAGTCCACCCACAGTGACATTGGCGATCAGTACGTGTTCGGGCCACTAGACGATATCATCGACGAGATCAAGAGCGATATTTAGGAGCTGCCGCTCGATGATAGCGTCGACCTGTCTGTCCTTGATTGGGCGTGCCTAGTCAACGCACCACCATCGTGCACCGCGCTACCTCTGTCCATCAGTCGTACTCCAAGCCATCATCCTCTGACGATACCGAAGAGCAGGAACAGTCGCTCATCAGCTTCAAGCTCGAGCTTTGGGGTTCCAATGACGCATTCGCGCAACACCAGTCAAGGTAAGCATGTCGATAACGCCTCAGGGCTTTTTTCGCACACCATGGGTTCCATGTCTTGGCCCTTGCCCGATGGGCCCTTGTCTGAGTCTACACATGCGCCAAGGGTACTAGGTCCCGCCAAGGGTCCTGACGGTGTAAGCGCTCAACAGGCTCTAGAAGGTGTGATCCAAAACGACCAAGTTCGTAACGAACCACCAAAACGGCCCAAGTCGAGTAAGTTGCGGCTCTTTATGAATGGTTTTCCTCTTTTGCGCCGTCAAGGTACTGGGGATACGAGTGTCAGCACTAGAACTGTGTCTGACACAGTCTCATCGCCCATCAAAACAATATTTACAACTCACGATGAGGACACGGAAAGGTCATTTGTGCAAGGCGTGGATGAAAGCGCCATCATGGCTTATTTGGCAAGAAATGCCCGCAAGTATGTCAATTCCCGTCCTACTACGCGAAAAGAAATAACTAAGGGTGTTTAGCGGGGAAAAGATCAAGTCTTTCATGGATCTTTTTGCGAAGCACATGCCCCCGCCGACAGACTACGACCGAGAGGTGGCTGATGCGTATGTTCCGGACTCGCCTCTTGCGTTACCAACCACTCTACGAGCGGCGATTAGACTGTTCCCAGATGCCAAGGTACTTACAGAGAACGTGCAGGAGGTTACCGTCGCAATCGATATTGAGGGAACTTTATATAACCAGAGATCTCTTTCTGAAACTGCGATAGACGTGGTCTTTGTGGTAGACAACGGGCAAGTGCACATACATCGGTCTCGAAGATGCAAATTGACGCAAGACATAGATACTATGTGACCCAGACCTGCCTGGAAAAGTCCCTAGAAGCCGTCAACGGAGCTCTGGTAGGCTGCATTGGCGAAAAAAGTAAACTAGCTAGCTTTCCCGTACTTACTTTTTATAGTATCACCTCGGCTCTGGGGACCGGTTGGCGCTGTATACCACACATTGCACTCACCGGAAAGTGACCGGAAATCGACCTGACATGCTGTACCCGATACGACGATTCAGCAAAGATACGGGATCAATGATCCGAGAAATTACAGCTACGATTTTACGGTCGGGTACCCAAGTCTGGGATCCGCCTCGGCCAAACCCATCTATGGTCGATATCGTCCTTGGCATAGCTAGGTCACTTGAGGTTGAACGTCTCAAAGCTGGCCGTACTCATATTATTGTACTATCGCCCGCAGCCCATGTACTTCATGATGTATCAAAGTACTTTGCAGATCTCCATCTTCATAGAATTAACCCGGCCGTACTTCCATATCGTCGCCAGCCGGAGTCTCAGAATACGATCTGCACTGATACCTGCTGTAGTAATGTATTTGCAAGCAACTGGTCCAAGTATCAGTCAACTCTTAGTCGTATCAAGCGCATCTTACGGAATGCGCGATGCACCAAGCCTATAGGAGAGCTGACTGGCTTGAGCGTCGATGTCCGGGCCAGAACAGGCTGCGAGCTTATCGAGTTTTACGGAAATAAGGAGATTCCTCAGCTCTACCTGGGAGAAGTGCACACGCTATTCGTCAAAGTACGCGTCACCATGGACGAAGCCCGAGGCATCAATCTGAACTCTGATAATACCATTCTCAACTCGAACCTGGATGCCAATGGCTTGAGACAGGAGCTGTTAAATTCTGTCCACATAGGTGCGACCAGGCTACACCTTTTTGACGTGCAGGTATTGTATCGCAACTCCATACATGAATCGCGAACCTGGAACTACACAGAGAGCCCTTTGATCCTCATAAGCGAGATGGGCGGTCTAGCTCCACCTCGGGATGCATCCTTGGAGGTTTACAGGCGCCAATACTTCTACCACATCACCCAGGCTCCACCTGACGAAGCCAAGGCTGTGGCTGAGAGTATTCGTGACGCACTTGGTGAGAGCAATGAACAAGCCAAGGAGCTGATTAAGTGTATGATTGAGGAACTGCAGTCGCATTTGGCGATTCGCGAGTACGAGCAACAATGCCGACAAAAGCTTCCGCTGTGTCCTGGCCCCATTGAAATTGAAACACCCCACCAGTGGCTGATGGAGTTGTGGAACCATCGGAAGAACAAGTGCGACTGCATCGACGCCTCTGACCGTCTATGAAGAAGGGGGTATGCGTAGGTGAGTGAAGGGATGGAGATTACTGAACAATGAGCTCTGGAAGCATGGCACAGCAGCTGGTGCATTTGTTCTTTTTCGTTTTCTTTTGCCCCAAGTAAGCGGCCGGATTCGCATTGTGATGGAGATGACAGGAGCCGATGGCAGGAGCGAATGCAACCACAGGGTGGAGTAGGGAGTCTTTGCTCTGCTTCGACCGTTGAAGGATCCACAATTGTGAAGCAGTTCAAATGCGGGAGTGTGGTGTTCCACAACGGCCTTTTGGATGACAAGCCAGGCTGCCAGGTTCTGGACCAATCAGGAACAGAGAGGGCGTGAGTTCCCACAGTCATAAGCACAGATAGTGGGTTTGTCACAGTCACGGCCCCCAGATTTTATGGCGGTATATTAGCATGTTCAATAACTACACCTAGGTCATAACATGCATACATACATACATGAAAAAAGGAAAAGAGCGGACCGGTTCTCACATCGAAAGACCCCTGGTGCATAGGCGTGCATGCTCGCACGTGCATATGCAAGATGAGATCTCGTCGAACCCATGCCCGTGCAGTCACATTGAAGATTGCAGAGCACTTACTCGATGACGTCCTGTACTCTTTGCTTTTTCGTCCCGGGACTTTTTACTTTCTGGGCCTCACACCGCCCGTGCAGCGTGCCTTCCGGATGATGCCGGCTGCGGAAACCCCCCTTCTTTTTTCGAACGGCACACACGCACACCCTCACACACACGGACTCATCCAGGCCCACAGGCGAGAAAAAGGAAAAGCCACGGAGGAAAACGATTGCACGTCGAGACGAGGCTGCGCGGCGTGCACTAGCGTGCATACCGGGCCTAACTCCGCGTCAGCCACGCGACAGACGTGGGGCAAGTTTTATTTTTCCCTTCCCACGCCCCCCCCCCTCCCCTACCTTTTCCAAAAGTGAAGTTTGGTACCCAGAAAAAATACTGGCCCGGTAAGAAAAAAGTAGTTCGAAAGGGAAAGAAGGGGGCCTGTGTCAGCCTAGCCCCAGCTGCGACTGGCGACCATGCCTTATAGAGGTGCTGTATGCACGCCAGCTGAACAAAGAGAGAAGCATGCAAACAAAAGCAAAAAGGCAAAAAAAAAAAGAAATAACATGAACAGGTAACCTTGGTTTTCCTTGCTTCTAACTTCTTTTTTCTGTTTTTCCTTTCGCGATCTCACAGGACGCAATGCAACCAAAAAAAGCGCCTGCCTTGATCTTTTGCCACTGGGGGGGAAGGGAGGGTCAGACGTGTAATGTAGGTGTAATGCGTCTGTCGGAGCTGAACAAGGAAACGGATGGATGGGTGGTAGTGCGAAATCTCCCCCTCCCTCCCTCTCTTTCTTCCAAGGCTAACCTTGCTACCACGTTTTTTTCTTCCCCCTCCCTTCAAACCGGTGGGGTGTTGCTTTTTTGGTAACCCTTGATTCCTTTCGTTTTTATCGGTTTCTGCCCCTCCGCCTTTTTTGTAAGGATTTGATTGCATGCAATAATGCATATGCGTGTACTAACCGACTTTGACACACTCTCTTACTATTTTCTGAATCTTTTTTTTCTTGTCTTTTCGTTTCTTTTTCCCCCACCGTCCTGTTTTCTTTACCCTGCATTCCCAAGGGACCAAAATTCTTTTCTCTCTTGCATTCTCATTTACTTTTTTTCATTTTCCTCGAAAAAGGAAACCTCGATCCCTGTGTCCCCCCAGTCTCTCCCTTTACTCTCGTTTCCACGGGAAAACTCTTTTTGATTTCCCGTTTGACCCGTCGTCCCTGCACACAACCACACACACTAGCACGCACACTTACACAACCCTCTTCTCTTTCCCTTCATCTCTTTATTTTCTTTTTGAATCTACTCTCCGAACCGCGCAGGGTCACACGACAGGAAAAACAAGATCATGTGGGTTTGAACGGAGAGGGGGATCATACACACGTCATGGATGTACCATATGTCACCCCTTGTGTGACAACGTTCACTTATGTACATTGGAACTTGTATTGACACACGACCAATTTCCCTTCGTGCGCGTTT